TTGTATGTTTGTGTGTTTGCATGTTTGTTTGTATGTTTGTGTGTTTGCACGTTTGTATGTATGTGTGTTGGTATGTTTTAGCATAGTAATATTTGCACGCAGTTATTTGCATTACATTACGAACCCAAAATTATGTACACCAATTTAAAAGGCTATCAAATGTGTACTTTTGTTTGCATGTGAATTTGTGGCACAGAATACACACAGGCACACACACACACACGCACACAAGCAAACACACGCACACATACATACACAAACAAACACACGCACACATAATTACACTTCATTTTCCAATAGAAGCAAGTAAGCCACCATCAAAGAAGAGCATCGAAGCGTGCACTTAGTGTTTATGCAGGAAAATGTTTGCACGTACGTACGTGTGTACGTGTATTCAAGTATATATATCTGTGTGCGTGTGTGCGTGCGTGTGTGTGTTTTCAAGTGTGGTTATGTTGATATAGACAGACGAATATAGATATCCATCTAGGATCTCTCTATTCACAGACAATATATGCAGACATGAAGGTACAATACACACACACACACACATACACATATAGGTAAACGTGTGCATGTGTATTTAGGAATGTTAGATAGCAATAAATCAGCCTGTCAACGAGTTTGTCTTGTCATGTTATGTTAGATGAATGAGTGATAAATGAATGAATGAGTGAATGAATGCATGAACGAATGAATGCATGAACGAATGAATGAATAAATGAATGCATAAACAAATGAATGAATAAATGAAGGAATGAGCAGATGAAAAAAAACCAAAAGATAAGATAAAAGAAATGACAACATGCTATCAACAGTGAACATTACAACCCAACAAACAACTACGTAATGGATGCACTGATAAGTGAGTGACTGTTTAATGAAAAAGAACAAATGAATGACGGATTCATTTATGAAATAATTTCAATTGAGCAGATGTTTAAACGACTTCACTGAGACACTTCAAACAATAGGCATTTAAAAAAGCTCTAAAATCAAGTCGAACAATATCTCAATCACACTGACAAACGCACGCACACACACACACACACACACACACACACGCAAACCCGCGGACATGCATATACACGTAAACACACGCACACACGCACAAATACACGACGAATAGATTTTAAAAACAAACATTGATGTTAAGCACATCATTTCATGTGCGATTTGTTGATAACAGAATGCATATTGATTCTGGTTCTGGTGTTTGGTTCTGAAAGTGAAAGTGAAAGAAAAATTTTCTCGTATTAGACTGGACAACAGGCTGTCAAAATCAACAAAAGGGAAATTCTTTTACCTAAATCTTGTTCAGACTTTCTGTTCGAAACTTTCCCAATACCATACTTCGATTACTGCAACATCTTTGCGAAAACACACACACACATTTCTCCATCGTATAACTATAAATCATCGATTAAAATCCTTGAAACTTCATTTAATTTCCAAACTTTTCCGTTAAAAACTTGAAAATTTTTTTTCCGAAAAATAAGTTTTGTGTCTAGGTGACCATGGCGATGAGTTTACCTTAGAAATATTTTTTGGTTATCCAGCTCATTATTAATTTCGTTTTAATTTTGAGAAGCAGATAAAATTTCCTTTCATCTCATTTCATCTCATTTCATCTCATTCACACACACACGCGCATACATGCAAACATACATTGCATACACACATACATCGGATACACGCATGCACACACACACACACCACATGCACACACATATGCACATATGCATCGGATACACACATACAATAGCAAACAAACCATTAAAAAATACAGACATGTGTGCTGAATTATCAAGTTTTTACACCATCAATTTAAATGATCAGTGTTCTTGTATAACACATACACACGCACATGTTTATATAAATATCACATACATACTTGAATGCCCACATTCGTACGTACATACATACATACATACATACATACATACATACATACATACATACATACATACATACATACATACATACATACATACATACATACATACATACATACATACATACATACATACATAAATACATACAAACATACATACATACATACATACACACACACCTATACATACATACATGCATACCTACATACATAAACAGATACATACATATAACACACATACTGCACATGTCCTAAAATGTTTTACTGCACTTGTTTATAATAAATAATGTACCTATAAATTATCACGCATAATATGTAATTATATATATGTGTGTGTGTTTGTGTATGTGTGTGTTTTTGTTTGTTTGTGTGTGTGTGGTGTGTGTGTGGTGTGTATGTGCTGATATGAATTTCTGATATGAGGTTTTTTTTGTCATGTTAATAGAACGTGTGTTGTGTTAATTTAAACTTCTTGGTCCCACTGAAGCCAAGTTGCTTGGTGTCGCCTATTGTTTGCGTTTTGCACTGAAGTGTGTCCTTATAATCAAAAGAAAAGTGCATCTAAAAATATATTTACTCCAGAACAATACATAACACACACACACAAAACACACACACACAAAACACACACACACATGCATACACACAACAAACAAACTACAAAAAATAAACACACACACACACACCACACACAAAATAGACCCAAAACTAGCAAGCTTTACGTGCAGACAAATTTAGTAGTATCACCACGTGTGTTGATGCATGCATGCACTAATGTGTGCATTGTTGTGCAAAGTACTAATTTGTCATTACGAATACGCATACGTGCCTCGTAATTATCTTGTGCTACCTTAATTTATCTGGCGCTTAATTATACTTCTTATTGTATCACTTTCTACTGCAATGGGGGATGAAAATTTGAATGTGTGTGTATGTCTGTATAAAAATATACACCTGTGTGTGTGTGTGTGTGTGTGTGTGTGTGCGCGCGCATATGGAGACGACAACAATGTTTCTACCTTAGTTGGCTAGTTGGATGGTTGGTTTGTTTGCTAGTTGATTGGTTGTTTGATCGGTTGGCTAGTTGGTTGGTTGGCTGTTTGTTTGGTAGTTTGGCTGGTTGGTTGTTTTACGCACATGCAAAAAATGTTTTGCGTGTTGTTGTTGTGCTTGCAAGCATCACTTCGTATTCACGTTCCTGTTATGCGTAAGGTTCGACGTCGATGGTGTCTTCATCTTCGCCTTGCAGAGCAGTTATAGATGTTCACATGTGATAATATTCAAGTGCGAAACGAACACATCTTCTACACACACGTATTTGTATGCACCTATGGCAAATGCACACGCGGATTATGTGCAGGCATGTTTGTAGTGCATGTTTGTAGTGCAGAATGACTGATTGACGAGTGGATGGATGAACGAGATGAACTTCATATAATTTTAATACATACATTTGTATTTCATTCAAAGAGTGCATCCAGCTCATTGTGTGATGATAAATTCATAAATGTGTGTGTATCACGTATTTATGCGTTCATGTGTGTGTGTGCGTGTTGTGTGTGCGTGTGTGTGGTAAACTTAAAATTCATGTTGACAATAACGCAAAAATTGTATAGTATAAATTACCCCATTAATTAATGACAATATATTTCAACTAGTAAACTGACTAGTAATAACAATAACAACAACATCAACATTACCACATCAACATTACAATAGCAACATTACAACACCAACATTACAACATCAACATCACAACATCAACATCAACATTACAAGACCAACAAACATCACAGCATCAACATTACAACATTAACACAGTGGCGTCACTAGGGTTGGTGTCACCCGGTGCGGTAACTCATGGTGTCACCCCTCTCATGACACCCCATAGACATACAGCATTCTTAGCAAAATTTATAAACACGAACAAGTTAAATGTGCTCGGCCGCGGCGCTTAATAATTCGGACGTCGAATTTGAATGGTATAAATGTCGAATACAAAAATGATTTGAACGAAAAAAATTTTATTCATAATACATTTCTGGGCGCTGGGCGGGTTAGGCTGAATTAATGATAAGAATAATTTCATGGAGGGACATAAAAACATATACAGTGATATTTTGGTGTCACCCCCTGTGAGGGTGTCACCCGGTGCGGTCCGCACCCCCGCACCCCCCTAGTGACGCCACTGCATTAACATCACAACATCAACATCACAACATCAACATCACAACATCAACATCACAACATCACAACATCAACATCACAACATCAACATTACAACAACCACAACAAACGCCGAAAAGAACATATAAAATAATTCCAAAAAAATAGGAAGAACATCTGTTTAAAAATATACTTACTGCTGCTGGATGACGATGACACTAATGACGAACATGACGATATTGTCAGTAACAACCCATTAAATCACCACCACCACCACCACAACAACTACTACAACATCAACAACAACAACAACTACTACTACAACATCAACATCAACAACAACAACAACTACTACAACATCAACATCAACAACTACAACAACTACTACAACATCAACATCAACAACTACAACATCAACTACAACATCAATAATAATAATAATAATAATAATAGTAATATTAACAGCAACAACAACAATAACAACAACAATATCAACAACAACAATATCAATAATAATAACAACTACAACAACAATAACAATAATAATAAATAACCATAATAGCAATAGCAATGGCAGAGCGAATGACAATAGAGAACCCCAAATAGCTCGAAGACATGAAAGCAATCGAAAGCGTGTCACGAAATGAAATTTACTACAACAGATGTTATAACGTTTAAATTTAAATCAGCCAATCGGCGTTCGCCTACCATCAGCTGAGCCGGCCAATGGCGTGAGAGAGTGAATCGAACAACGGAATTTAAAAATTTAAATTTTAAACGTCAACAATTGCTCGAGTGAGGTTTCTTTGTTAGAAATGATTTGATTGTTAATCTACGTGGAATCATGAAGTTGACTGCCGTGAGAATTAAAAATATATTTTATAATATGCAGATAATATATCTGTAACATTGTAAGTGGTTCTGCGTATGTCAGAGCTGCAATAATAAAAGACTAAAAAAGAAATAAATAATTTTATCAATAGTTATTTTGTCATAAATTGCTTTTCACGAATCACGTCTTAGCATTCACCAGAGAGGTATCAGGCAACAAAGATGTGCAAATACACGTAAATCACTGTTTCACACATACTACACGCGCATTCAAACCAAGTTGCCGCAAAATCATTGCCAGGCGCTTTAACCATTACACCAACTCGCCGCCCGATACGTCGTTGACCCTTGAACTCAAGCCATTAAACCAACTGCCCCTTCAGACCGCCATCAACCGGCCGTAAATATTTCATAGACTGTCATCGTCATCCTTGCTTCTTTAAATTGCAAATTTTTTTATTTTAATGAAAATCCTTTTTCACCGGACTCACAAAATACTTCAAAACTTCATTAAAAAACTCACACAGCTATAACTATCACAACAAATGAAAGCATATTCTAATGGATACAACTAAACCAGCCGTCATATCATGCAAACGTTAACGAATTTCTGACAAGTGTTAAACTTTTTTTTTTGACACAATTTTTTTTCTATTAGAAAATCATTACCACAATCATATCTTTAATCTTTACCAATCTTTTAATCTCGACCATCATCGTCATCATCGTCGTCAAACAATCCCAAAGCGAGCTGATTCTCGTACAGCCAATCATGGTACTTATTCAGCTTGTGATCGTTTGGCTCAACCTGGATTGTTTATCATCATCATTATCATCATCATCGTCGTCATCATCATCATCATCATCATCATGTTTGTTTGTCATCATCGTCGTCGTATCATCATCATCATTATCATTATCATCGTTATTATAGTTAATCTTATTCTATCATTAAAAACGTCATCGTCATTATTATTATTATTATTATTATTATCACCATAGTCGTCGTGATGACCTTCAACCTCATCATCATCATCATCATCGTTATCATTCGACGAAAAACAACACACAGACAAACAAACAAGCAAACAAACAGAACTACACCACCACCACCACCACCACCACCAACAACATACCTTCTTCCAGCGATTAACGCAGAATATGTTGTAGGAATCACTTCCATATTTCCCCACACCGTACAACTCAGAGGGGTCCTTCCATTCTTTCGTCTGATACTCATCTGCCAGGGTGTTTTGCCACAGTTTGGGTCTTGCCACAGAAACGCACATACACAAACAAACACACACATACACACACACACACATATACACACACATATACACACACACTCTCTCCTCTCTTTGCAATCGATCTAGGTCACCGCAAAGTAAAGGCCAGGCGCCCCTAACTATTACGCTGTCAAGCTGTCATTACATGTTAAATGTTAAAAAATGTTAAACAAAATACTGAAATTATTGTAACACTGACATGAAAATTTTTTAATTATTTGAGCTCTCTTCCTACTTAATCCAAGAGGTTTCATTAGATTTGATATGTCCGTATATACTTCATCATTATCAACACCTTTGCCATTAACATCATCATCATCATCGTTTTTGTCATCATTATTGTTGTTATACTCTCTCTCACCATCATCATCATCGTCGTCGTCGTCATCGTGATTCTTCATACAAATTTGATTTTGTGATGGTTGATGTGATGATGGCGACGATGTTGATTGTGATGACATCTGTGATGATAATGATGATGATGGCTGTGATGATGATGATGATGATGATGATTGAAAAGATTGTGACGATGATGTCGTTGTTGGTGGTTGTGGCGATGAAGTTGACGCTTGTGATGATAATTTTGATAACGAAGGCGTTCGCGATGATGTAGCGGCCGCTGATATAACTTTGCCGGGGCAGTCATACTTTTCAAAAAACTTCCACAAATACGGGATGGCTGACTTGCCTGTGCACAACAAAAATAATAAAATGAATTTAGTGGAGTCTAAATTATATTATTTTCTCATTTCACAGACCAAAACATTGTCAGTAATAATAATATATACTCCAAAGTAGAGAAAACAATAAGGCACAGTGTGATAGACCTTAAATCTTTTAACAGATTATTATTGAAAAATTAGTTTAGATTCTAAACTTTAGAAAATGAAATGTATATCAAATGAAATAATGCCTTGTTAACCTGATGTCCTATGGAGGAAGATGGTGGCAATAAGAACCTTCCAAGGGTCCATGTATAACTGTTCTTGTACTAAGTTGAAAGGTGATCTGGGAGGGTGCCATAAAGGATCCCTATGGTTAATGAGAATTCTCTCTTTCTTGCGCTGGTTGTTGAAATATTTTGATTTTTTCAATTTCACACCTTCTATTGGTGTACTGAGCATCTGAAAGTAAAATATTAAAAATTAAATAATAAATGTATTAAATAAAATATATATTTTTAAAAACAGTTATTAATTAACAAATTAAGCTTAATAAATAGACTGATAACAACAATACTACTGCTACATACTGCAAATTAATTAATTAAATTAATTGAAAATAAGAGTACACAAATGGCTTTCATATTAAAATTAAAATTAAATTAATTGCTCAATCACTAACATCTTGATACTTCCACATATTTTTTCGCAACTTTTCAGCCAAATTGGTGGAATCCATTCGCTATTTTAGTCAGTTAACCAACCGGCTTATCAAAAAGTTCCTTACAAGACAAAATTGGAATGGCAAGCAGGAAAGTTCATTTAATTAATTAAATGGAGAGTAAACAGCTGATCATACTATATTTGTATAATAAGAAAAGAAAAGGTAAAATGAGCTTTTTAGTCCGATAACCAGGCAAAATTTGAGTCCCACATTTCAATAAAAATGTGTATTAAACTAATAAAAATGGGTTCTTGAAAAGACTTTTTCAAGTAATTTAGAGGAAAATAATAATTGAAAAGTTAAAAAAATAATTAAAGTTCTATGCTTGGATTAGCAAAAATATACTTTCTATGGCATTAAAAAAACAAAATTTAAATACTTGATAGAAAATTTGATGTTATTATATTTTCGTCCATCGCGTAAGTGCATCTTTCTGAAAAATTAAGTTATCGTTTTTAAATTAGTTCATTGCCGAAAATGCCTTTTGTTAAAAAACGACGCGATGAGGATTACGAAGGAGAAGGTGGGCGAAAATACGTGCAGGTTCCTAACTTCAATCCTGTTAGTTGGGGTGTTGCTTTGACTTATTTTTTGTTTATTATCGCTAATCGACTAACTAATCTGTTTTTAGCTGCTGGAATTGTTTGAATATTTCTAAATAACAATTGCAAAAATTTTTGTGTATTAATATTTTTGTAAATTTTAAAATTTGATCCTAATTCTTTTGCAGTTTTATTGGTATTAAGCCTAAGATAAGCTAACTGCTAAGGCCTTTTATTTTTAACTTTTAAAAGCTAATTTTAGCTAGATAATAAAAACTAAAGTACTAAAAAACTAAGATAAGATAGTTGATTAAAGATAGAATAGAAATTCTTATTGATTTGTTTATTGATTGATGAATGAATTATAAATAAGATAGTCTCAGCTTGATAGTTTTTCTTTGTTTATTTTATCTTTGTATTTAAATTTAATTTAATTAATTCTCAGAACAACTTATCTATTGAAATATAAATTATATTGAATAAGTAATTTAAAATTTTTAATATTATTAAATTAATTGTCAAACATAAAATGATAATGATGAAACAGCAAGAGATCTGCCAGGATCTCTATGACATAATAAGAAATCAGAAGACTGAACATGGCAAGTTGTTGTGCGAGCCATTCATTCGAGTTCCCAAAAGAAGGTTAAAATCATGAATAAATTATAATTATCAAGTAGTTCTGATTGAAAACCATTTTTTAAACTAAAAATGTATTCAGAGCTGTTTGGTCTGAAGATGTGTTAGTTTAATTAACTTACAAATGTTTCTGTTTAATCCTAAGTATATCTAAATGTTATTTTTTTCCCAACTCGAACAGTAATTTGTTTAGTGTTTTATTGCTAAATTGGATGGTATTTAAATTTTTTTTTGTATAAATTATTTTTTTTAATTATCTTAATTGTTAAATGGTAGAACATAATTTATTGCATTCTCATAAGAAATGAGCCAGACTACTACACAACTGTCAATGTCCCGATGGATCTTTTAAAAATTCAACATCGTCTGAAGTCAGAAGAGTACGAAGATGTTGACGACATGATTGAAGACTTCAATCTCATGATCAATAATGCTAAATCATTCTACCAGGTTTGTAACTACTTCACTGTTTGCATCCTGTCATTGAGCACTTTTTTAAAAAGTAATTATAACATTTTGAAGTTTCATGTGTATGTCGATTTTCATTTGATCCATTGCATTTCTACAGCCTGACTCGAGCGAGTACAAGCAGGCAGTAGAGCTTCAGACTCTCTTCGAAAAGTCCAAGGCTCAGTTGATTTCCCAAGCACTCGGCGTTGCCATGGAGACGGATGATGACGTGGCCCTGACCATCGACGTGCCATCCCAGGGGGAGAAGTTTGCCGATGATGAACGATTGAAATCATCAAGTGATGGTAAAGTCCCTGCTTCTACTGAAGGCAACGAAGAAAACAACAAACTCAACGAGTCTGTCCCACAATTTTTTTTTCTTCAAAAAATATTCACTTCCTGTTTTCATCTTCATCATTTAAACTTGTAGAAATATGGCTGGCTATTATTTAAAGTAATTTTTATGTTGTTATGGATCTGTCCTCACTGTTAACATTCTTACAATAACGTTAACCATATGTTAACACACTGTCTGTAAGATGCCGGTTATATATATGGGGAAAAATTAATAACCACATCTTGTTAGCAACTGTGAGTTTGAAAACTTCGCTAGTCAGATAAATTTTTGAGGCTTTTTTATTGTTTGTTTTTTTGTATGTTAACGAACATTCTCTTTCTGCAATTTTGCCTGGAAGGTCTGGAACTCAATCGGGATTGTTGGACGAGTCAAGTAGGAGTGGCTTCTCAAATGTCCTGTCATCTGGGTCGGACATGGAGGATGAGGTGGGTGACGTGTTGGTTGCGGTATGGTGTGGTGGTGGTAGCTGTTACTCCACCCGTTCCTCATTCATCACTCTTTCTATCTATCTGCTAATGTTATGCTAGTAGTTATTATTATCTTTCATACCTTCTTTTTGTCAGTCGATCAATCAATCAATCAATCAATCAATCAATTGAGTTATGTTAGTATTTTATTTTTCCATTTATCACTCATTACTTTTTTCAATCAATCAATCAGTCAATCAATCTATCAATCAATCAATCAATCAATCAATCAATCATTTGATAAATCATTTAAAAGCAAACAAATTTTCTCTTCCTAGAAGAACAAGTCTCCAGGTAATGAAGACAAGAAGAGGAAGATCGTAAAAAAGAAGAGGAGAACCAATAAGGATGTCAGTTCGTTGTTGCTGTCATTAATGGTGATGATGATGAAGATGATGATGATGATGTTATTGATGATGATGACGACGACGATGATGAAGAAGATGATGTTGATATCGTTATTTGAGGAATTCTTTTTGCATTACTCAAAGATGAAGATGTTGATGATAAGATGTCGTTGGTTAAAATGATGATGAGAATGGTGACGATGTTGACGATAATTATGATGATGATGTCGATGATGATGATTAAGATTCATCAATTGTGATGATTGTACCATCTACGACTTGTAATTGTTTTAAAAATAAAAATAAATGAAGAATTACTAATTAAACTTAATAGTAAATAATAATAAATAATATAATGTAGTAATATTAATAATAATAACATAAATAATGAACAGCTGACAGAAGAGATGGTGAGCATGAGTGAGGGTCTGTTGACTCCAGCGTCGTCGTTGTTGATGTCACAGCTGGACGACGACTACGTCATGATAGAACAGCTGTTCAGTTCGACGGTAACTGCATGCGATGACACTCACTGTTTCACTGACCTCTTCAGGGTCATGCCCTCTAGAATGGTTAGTTGTTTCTGCTGCTGTGAACTTTCTCTCTCTCCCCTCTCTCTCTTTCTCTCTCTCTCTCTCTTTCTCTGTGTGAGTGTGTGTGTGTGTGTGAGTGTGTGTGTGTGTGTGTGTGTGTGTGTGTGTTGGGCTGTTGTATTACATTGTGGTAATGTTTTTTTGTTGTGGTATAGTGTATAGCATTTTTGTTGTGGTGTTGTGTTGGGCTGTTGTATAAGGTTGTTGTGATGTTGTTGTGATTGTTTATAATTTTTAAAAATGCTTTTTAAGTGTGTGTCTTCCATAATATTCATTATTTTACTCTACCACTACAATTTTCATCAATGCTAATGATAATCACTTCATCATCTTGTGTAATCTGTTTATGGTAAATGAACCACTTTATCAATGTTTCCATGATAATCGTCAGTTGCAGTTGCTATAATCAGCAGATACCCTTATCATTATTACGTTACATGGCACCATTACATCTTGCAGAAGTTTCCTGAGTACTACCAGGTGATAAAGGAGCCGATGGACTTAAAAACGATTGCCAAAAAGATCCAGTCATCATCGTATCCAAATGTCGACGCAATGATCAAGGATTTCATGCTCATCATCTCCAATGCTAAGGCCTACAATGAACCTTACTCAAAGATCTATAAGGTCGGTTTTACTCTCTCTGTTCACCATCTGTATCATTTATGGTTATTTGAAAAAGAATAGATGCTGTATCGAATCAAGTGGTCTTTGCTTTTGTCGATATATCTTTGTTGCAATGAGAATCAATATTTGTATAAATGAATGTACAATTGTACATGCACTTAGGCTTTTGTATAATATTTCTCTATCTTTAGATACATTTCACATGCACATACATTTGTATATAGACCAACCCGTGTCACCATACTACTCAACTCACACACAATATATATATATATTAGGGATGCACCGAAGTTCGGCCCCGGCTCCGGCCCCGGCCAAAATCCGGCTTTTTTTTCAAATCCGGTCGAATCCGGCCCCGGCCGGATTTGGTGGCCGGATTTAGGGCCGGATTTAAGCGTCTATCAACTTTTAAAAATGTTATAAACAGAAAAAAAAATTTTTATTGAATTCAATTAATTTTATGTCAATAAGTTAAAGGCTAAGCTAAAGGCATACATGACACATAATAACAACATCACTAATTGTGAGGTGATCTGGACAATTTTCTTTATGCTATAACATGGGTTATGCATAAATTATAAGCTGATCTTTGTGTAAAAGAACTTGTGCACGTGTATATACTATATATTGATAATTGCACATGACGGATCATATAGCTACATAATATATATATATATATATATATATATATATATATATATATATATATATAATTTAAGAACATGGTAAGTTAAAGGTTAGGCTAGGTATACATGACACATAATTACAACATCACTAATTGTGAGGTGATCTGGACAATTTTCTTTATGCTATAACATGGATTATGCATAGATTATAAGCTGATCTTTGTGTAAAATAACTTGTGCACGTGCATACATGACACATAATATTAACATCACTTATTGTGAGATGAGCTGAACAATTTTCTTTATGGATTATGCATAAATTATAAGCTGATCTTTGTGTACAGAATTTGGCGTATCACACAACTTATTCATATATTTGAATTAAATAACTATTTGCTTGGTGTTATGTGATTTGCTTGGTGTTATGTGATTATTTTTTCTAACGTATGTGAAATGGTAACTAAAATCCGGCCCCGGCTCCGGCCGGTTTTTTAATTTTAAATCCGGCCAAGTCCGGCTCCGGCCGGATTTGAAAAACCTGAATCCGGTGCATCCCTAATATATATATATATATATATATATATATATATATATGTGTGTGTGTGTGTGTGTGTGTGTGTGTGTGTGTGTGTGTGTGTGTGTGTGCGTGCGCGCGCTTATGTATGTATATATGTATGTATGTATGTAGGATGCAACAGCAATGAAGAAGTTCCTGATGAACAAGAAGCAGGAGCTGGAGCAGCTGAGGCAGAGCAGGAGTCAGAGGACGAGAGGAAGATCACTGATGCAGCAGCAGCAGGTCAATAACATGTCCTCTGCATATGCCTCCATCAAGTCCGACGATGACGACGATGCTGATGACGCTGGGAAATCCCATCAGCATCACTATCATCGTGCTCTTCACAAGAGTAGGTTTGAGAGGTTGGTTTTGCATGTATTTATATTTTTAATTTATGTAATTTTTGTCCATTCATTTGTCAGCTTTTCATCACTTAATCATTTGCAGACTCATACATCAGTTCATTCATTCCATTAATCATTCATTCATTCCATTAATCATACATTCATTCATCCCATCATTCAGTCATCCATTTTGTCCATTCATTCGTTCAATCATTTTTTTATTCCTCCCCCCAGATCAGCAGCAGCGGCATCGGCGACGGGAGCAGGAAGTGATGACGACGGCTCCGACACGTTCACTTCGACGGGCACTGCTCCACATTTTGAAACGGAGTACTGGCACCTCTATGACTCCATCAAAAGTTACAGGAACTCGAATGACCAGGCCATCTGTGAGCCATTTCTCAGGCTGCCCAGTAGAAGGTATGTCGTCATTGGTGGTTGCCATGGTGATCAGTTTGTTTACCACTGTGATTGGTTGGTATGTTGATGAGGTGTTAAATTATCGGCTGGTTGTTTAGTTGGCATGAAGATTTGATCCTAGATATTGTCCTTTATGTTAGATCATTTCCATATATTTCATCTTCGTTATTGGATGTAATGGTTTTACTATTTTCATCCGTTTGTTCTTTATCTCAATCATAGTAGATGATGGCATATTATAACAACATTTTGGTTAGAATATTTAACATAGGTTTGACGATGTTTTGGTCTAAATAAATATTTTAATAGCCGCATTTTAATTATATTTAATTCCATAACCACATCCTTAACTATGTTTTTCTTTCTCCAAAACACCACCAACACCATCGCCATAGGTTTTATCCGGATTACTACCAAGAGATCAAGCGACCTCTCTCATTGGTCAAGATTCAAAAGAAGATTAAAGTCCGTAATGCGACTTTTTTTTTGTTAAAATTGTTTCAAAAATTTATTGTAAATTTGCGGTGTAATATTTTATTGTAAAGTATTGTTACAAATTGATCATGCACACATTTAATATTCACGAGGTATTTTATTATACATAAGGTTGGTTTTTTATTATACATGAGGTATTTTAATATTCATGAGGTATTTTATTATACATAATGTTGGTTTTTTATTATACAGAAGATATTTTAATATTCATCAGGTATTGTGGTATATACTTCAGTTATTTTAATATTCATGAGAGATGGTAATATTCATGAGAGATGGTAATATGAGAGATGATAATATTCATGAGAGATAAACTGTGGCCATTAGAATGACCTTAGCTAGACATTTTGAATTTTGCACCTCTAGAATGGGAGCTATCCAAAACTGGAGAGCCTAGCCAGCGATTTCAACCTCGTCTTTGATAACGCGAAACAATATAACAGGGAGGATAGCCGAATATACCAGGTGGTGGTTGTGATGATGATTGGGATGATGATGATGATGATGATTGGTTTTTTTTGTACCCCATTAGGACGCTGACACTCTTCAGAAAGTTATGAGAGGAAAATTTGAAGAACTGAAAAGGAGTAAAGTTAGAATTTTTAATAGTCGATTGACTTAATCTTCGTCATCGTCGTCACCATCGTCATCATTGGCAACTTTATCGTCAATACAGCCGTCATCATCAAAATATCATCACCAGCTTTTAAGTTAATTACATTTTTAATAATAATCCAGCCACCTTTTGTTACTATCATTCAGTCATCATCACATTCCTTACGCTCAACATTATCACCATTCATCTTCACCATCATTACACTCAACGACACCATCATCACCATTATCGTTACCATCATAACCAACATCATCACGGTCGTCACCACCACCACCGACAACAACAACAACTACAACAACAACAGTAACAACTACAACTACTACAACAACAACAACATTACAGGAAGCGGCCGCTACAAAGCAGCATCAAAGCAAAGCAGCTGACGACGAAGCTACGAGGAGGAAAAGAATGCGTCTATGCGACGATAATCTGAAGAAAAATCTCTATGCCCTTTACAATTCCGTGCTCTTGTTTAAGGTCACTACTACAAAAAGAAAAAATTCAATTTATGTTAATTTAGTTCAAATTATGTTAATTTGGATCTAGTTATGTTAATTTAGATCTAGTTACGTTAATTTGGATCTAATTATGTTAATTTGGATTTAATTATGTTAGTTTTACTTTATAATTATGTTAATTTGGATTTAAATAAGTTAGTTTTACTTTAATTATGTTAATTTGGATTTAATTATGTAAATTTTACTTTAATTATGATAATTTGGATTTAATTATGTAAGTTTTACTCTAATTATGTTAATTTGGATTCGATTATGTTTATTTGGATCTAATCGTGTTAATTCATGCTTACAATAATAATAGATAGGCAACAGAAGTCCGATCGACATATTTAGGACCCTGCCTTTGAGGAAGGAGTACCCAGATTATTACCAGATCATCAAGCAGCCTATCGATATGAACATCATTGAGTTGAAGATAAAGCATGATAAGGTAGGTCTTAACTGATCTGATGGCGTCATTTAACGAGCGTGATGTTGTCCCTCCTCTGAGTGTGAATGTTGTCGCTTATTGTTGTGCTGGTTTTATGATGCATTGTTCTAAGTTGTGCATTTTTATAAATATGAATTGAGTATTGATGCTGTTGTTGTCGGTGTTGCATGTATAGTTGAAATGAACCAACGCACTTGTGAATGCGTTTAACGAACAATCATTAATCATCGTTACAAACGCAAACAATCATGCATGACACAAACGTCATACAAGCACATAAACAATGATACAATCATACGAAAAACAAACAAACAAAGAGACAATCATATATAGTCATCTTACAAACGAACAAACATACATCATTCCAGCATCATGCAAACACACAAACATCATATAACAAAAACAAAAACACATAAACAAACAAACAAAAACACATTCATACAACCAATCACCAAAAAAACCAACCACAGTACCTCAACCTGATGAGCCTCTCCCTTGATTTTGAGTTGATGTTCAACAACGCCAGGCAATACAACGAGGAGACATCAATGATATATAGAGACGCCGACGTTCTAGAAAGATTCATGCACTCCAAACTTCAATCCATAATCAATCAATCAACCAGCCAACTTTCTGCCTCTTCGATGTCAGTGAAGGTGGTAATGAGGGGCGAGGACGATTGCACTGCTCTCAGTTGGGGTAACGCTGGCGGTGCGGGTAGCAGTTCAGGGGCCGGTTCTTATGGGGATGGAGATGCTAAGAAGAATGAGGACGGCGGGGGTTCAAGGGCTGAATGTAAAATCCTTTCCAGCAATTCTGTGTTAGCTCTTTTTAATAGTTTTTGTTTTCGTTGTTTGTAATAAATGTTTACCACATTTTTCTTCTCTATCTAGCTCTTTCTCTTTCTCTCTCTCTCTCTCTCTCTCTCTCTCTCTCTCTCTCTCTTTCTCTCTATTTCTCTTTCTCTAACTCACTTTCTCCCTAACTGTTATAGTCGTCTTTCCAATATGATGATGTGATCTGTTTTAAATGTCCGCCTATGTTTGTTTCTTCACAATTTATAACTGTACGTGGCATCAAGTTGCAATATATGATATAACACAACTGCAGACCAAATGAAATCTACCAAAAGCTGTACAATACAGTGAGGGATTACATGGACGACAGCAACAGAACACTGTCAGGACCTTTCATGAAACTCCCTCTTAAGAGTGTTAGTGTTAGTGTGTGTGTTTGTGTGTGTGTTTGTGTATTTGGTATGCACGCGTGTGCATGCGTGCATGCATGTATTTAGTATATGCTTTGGATGTATGTGTTTGTGTGAGGCATATTTCAACAATTTGTTCTTTTATTGGTCAGCAGTTGTTATCGTCATCATCATCATCATTCTTTTCGTCAATATTATTATTACCGCCATCGTCATAATCAATGCCGACGTCATCACCATCACCACCATCATCATCATCATCATCATCATCATCATTGCCATTATTGCGTCATCGTCTTCATCAACGTCATCGTCATCATCATCAGGACTACCCGGATTATTACAATGTGATAACGAAACCGATGGACATGCAGAAGATCCTGATAAAGATAACGACCAATCAATACGGGCACGTCGACGATGTCTTCAGTGATATGTACCTCATGTTCAACAATGCCTGCGTATATAATGAGCCCAATTCTCAAATATTCAAGGTATTGTCTCTCTCTCTCTCTCTCTCTCTCTCTCTCTCTCTCTCTTCTCTTTTCTTTTTCTCTTTCTCTCTCTGCGTGTGCGTGTTTGTTTGCGTGTGTGCGTGCTTCTAAACAAATTTTGAAACCAACCCAGGACGCCATACAGCTGCAGAAGGTTTGCATGGACTTCCGAGTGACACTGAACAACGAGGCGTACAACGAACTGGTCAGCAACAGCGTCCAGCAACTGACCCAACAACTTCTGCTGCAGATCTTCCAGGAAACCGTAAACTTTACTGTCAGTCTTCTGCTTCTATCCCAATCCATCTATCCCTATTTTTGTCCATCCATCCATCCATTTATTCATTCATTCATTCATTCATTCATCTTTTTCATTAAATCTATCCAACACCACCCAGGACGGTGAAGGTCGTTACTACAGTGACAGCATTTATGAATATTCAGTAGATGATGACGACGATGATAACGAAGAGAAGTAATGTGACATTTCATGTGTTTAATTACTGATAATTAATTATTTTATTAATTTATTTGTTATAATTGACATTTTATAAACCTCGTTAAGAACTAATTTATTGGTTAATATATAATTTATCCACAGAAAGTTGTTTTCATTGGAAAGTATCCAACTGAAGCTAGAGAATGTAAGTACCATTAACACAACTTATTACCCATGAATAATCATTAACTGTCATTAACATAATTTATTACGACTCAACCAATTGATATTTAGTAATAATTTATTCGTATTAAGGGCATAATTGCATAATCTTAATAAGGGCCAGATAACGAGGCTGGATTGTCTACAGGAATGCCTGTTCAAGCTGGTTGAACACATCAGATCAACCTGTTTGAATACAGCCCAGGTATTTGTATTTTTTTGTTTTTGTATTCTTTTCTCGTTGTATTCTTCTCTGGGGACTAATTAACAGACAGACGGACTAATTTAATAATAAATTTATTATAAATAATATTAATGATGACTAACAATAAAAGTTATGACATAAAAACGAGTTATATCGTGCAAGTTGCTAGTGAAAAGCATGCTTCGGTATCGAAATTTTTTCTTTTTTTCATTCGCTTACTTTTACTTACTACTCGTCGCCAGGCTTACAGCGATAGTTTAGAGCTGGCTAGAAGTTTTGTTGCGAAGAGGGATGAGCTCTGCTGCCAGGGTGGGGTCTTGTTGTCGGGGGCACTGTCCTACACGCTACAAAAACTCGACCAGACTTTCAATTCCCAACAAACGACAAACAACAACACCGCCACTACCAACAACAGCAGCAACAACAACAGCATGGAGTCTTCTGATGACGTCTTTGCCGGTGATGTAGTTGTGGATGGTGCTGATAGAGAGAACTCTGTTGACGAATACGAGTTCAATGGTGTCCTCTACAAGAAGGGAGATTTTGTGTACATCCAATCTAGGTTTGTTTGTCCGTTGGTTCGTTCATTCGTTTGTTTGTTTGTTTGTTTGCTTGTTTGTTTGTTTGTTCGTTCGTTTGTTCGTTTGTTCGTTTGCTTTTAATTATAATTCATTGAATTTGATTTGCACAGTTCTCTACAAAGGGAGCCAAACAGTCCCCCAAATATTGTCTACATCGAACAACTTTTCTACAAGCAGCTGCAACAACAACATCAGCAACAACATCAAGAAAGTGTTGCACAACAACAGCAGCAACAAATGTTTTTGAAGGGGTGTTGGTTCTTGAGGCCCAGTCAGACTTTCTGCCATCATCAGAGAAAGTTCATTGACAACGTTCGTTTGTGTTGTTTGTGATGTTCTTGTTTCTATTTCTGTTGATTTGGTCGTTGTTGTTGTTGTTGTTGCTGCTGCTGCTGCTGATGATGATGATGTGAGAATAATAATAATAATAATAATGATGATGATGATGATGATGTGAGAGCAATGATAATGATGATGGTGATTGATGTCAGTGATGTAAAATATTGCAATAAGTTATTGGATAATGTATTTCATCGTCATTGCCATTGTTTTTTTCAATCCATATCTTCTATCAAATGTAATACTACTACTACTACTGTTACTACTATTATTACTACTGCTGCTGCTACTACTATTACTACTGCTGCTACTACTACTACTACTGCTACTACCTTTTACTACTACTACTACTACCTTTTACTACTACTACTACTACTACCTTTGTATTACTACTGCTATTACTACTGCTGCTGCTGCTGCTACTACTACTACTACTACTACTACTACTACTACTACTACTACTACTACCTTGTACTACTACTACTACTACTGTTACTACTTACTACTACTACTACTTCTACCGCTAATACTCATGCTTCGTTGGTCACATAGGAAGTGTTGAAAAGTGAATTTAAAGATGAAGTCCCATTTGACAAGGTGGTCGGCAGATGTCTGGTTGTGCACATCAAACAGTACATAACACACGAGACACAAGTTAGTGTTGTACAAGTAACTGTACTGTCTGTCTGTGTGTGTGTGTGTGTGTGTGTGTGTGTGCGTGCGCGTGTGTGTACTGCTATTGTACATGTGTGTATTGTATTGTATTTTAAATACAATCAATTGTTGAATACAGTGCAGTCAAATTTAATTTACTCTGATTTCACTTTATTTTATATGGTTTACTCTCTTGCTAGAGTGTACCAGGCAAAGATGTCTATATTTGTGAGTCCAGTTACATCGGTAAGAAGAAAGAGTTTAGAAAATTGAAGGTGGGTCTATTTGGTGATTGCTTCGTGACTGGTTGATGGATTGATTGCTGATTGGCCGGTGACTGCTTGATTGGTTGCTGATTGGATTGGTGTCTGGTCTATTGATTGCCCTCCTGTGATTGGTATGATGGCTGGACAATTTATCGATTGGTTTATAAGTTGAATGATTAATTGCCATTGATTGAATGTTGGTTAAATGGAGACTGGCATGTTGAATAAGGTGGCAAGTTGATTCCAGTCTCTACAGAACTGGTCTGCTTCAATGGATCAGCAACCTGACCATGACCATTTAATTGGCTGATCAAATTTTTCTGTTTTTTTTTTTTTTTTTTATTGCAGCTTGAATTTATTCTGCCATAAAAAATAATTTCAGAAATGGAACCAGCCGAAGAACGACAACGTCATATTCACCGCCAGACCTCAGCCATTCGTCCCCGCCAGGAAAGTCCTCGCGCAGGCAGCTGCGACGACACTCAAGTCAAAGAACGTCAATAAGTCGATTGATTGCACTCGCAGGGCTGTCCTTGCCAGGAATGTTCCTGATGCGTCGGATGGGTGCACCTACTACCAGCAGCAGCGTGTCACTAATGGGTGCTGGGTCAAAATCGGTTGGCTGTTGCTGTCTGTTGATGTTGTCCGAGTTGTTGTCGTCGTCGTTGTTGTTGTTGATGTTATCTGAGTTGTTGTTATTGATGATGTTATCTGAGTTGTTGTTGTTGATGTTATCTGAGTCGTTGTTGTTGTTGATGTTATCTGAGTCGTTGTTGTTGTTGATGTTATCTGAGCTGTTGTTGATGTTGCTTGAGTTATTGTTGAGGCTTCCAAATGGTGGTGAGGATGTTTGTCCAATCAAATATATGTTAATAGGTGGCCTACATTTTAAAAAACTCCAGTGTTTGATTGTAGGTTAAAGTAATGATGATGATGACGATGGTGATGACGATGATGATAAAGCTCTAGTATCACAAATAACCAGGTGACTTTGTTGTCGTGAAGACATTGAACAGCGTTAACAATGCTGATGCCAACAAACCAACGATCATAAAAGTTGAAAAAATATGGAGCACCGAAACGTTTGTCATATTTTTTTTTTGTTGACCTGCTACATTTATATTAATGTCATTGAATTTTATAAGCTGTTATAAAATGCTGACATGATCAATTAGTAAGTTTATTTAATTTGTAATTTAATATGACTTATATAGTTTTTTCATAATTTTACATAATTCATAGTTTCTAATGATTTTTTATTATTCTTCATTAATTTATAGTAATTGATTGGGATCAAGATGATTTTATAAATCATTCAACATGATTTACTGCTGGTTCATGGTTTCTGATCTGATTATAACGCTATTATTATTTAAATGTGCAATGTGTGTGATGGGTGGTTTCCTCTGTGTCTTTGAAAGCTCTGAAGCAGGTGCCCAAGTGAGATTGATCTAACCTTTTAACCTTTAAACAGAGGGCAGGGTAGCATCTCGGGACCCCTCCTTCTACATCCACAAATCCTGGAGAGCCAGTTGAACGGCCGCCTCTTCTACCGGAAAGAAGTGCTGCTGAGTAACAGGGATGTAACGTATCCATTTGCCAGTGTCGTGCAGTTGTGCTCGGTGATGGGCGTTCGGGATTACGTCACGTGTAGGTACACGCACATCACTGAAAATGACGTTTACGTCTGTGAGTTTAAATTCAGTGATGTCGATAAATCCATGAAGAAGACGAACTTGCAGATGAAACATCAAAATTCCAATGTCGAGATCGTCCAGGATGAGGTCTACTTCCTCAAACAGCCTCTCGTTGTCGTTAGGGTCGGTCGCTGTATGTGGTTGATGTGGTCGATGTGATGTGGTCGATGTGGATGTGGTTGATTTGGATGTGGTCGATGTGTATGTGGTTGCTTGTGTATGTGGCTGATGTGATGTGGTCGATGTGTATGTGGTTCATGTAGGTGTGGTTGTTTGTGTATATGGTTGGTGTTGTTGTGGTTGTTTGTGAATGAATGTGGTTGTTTGTGGATGTGTTGGATGTTTGTGTTGATGTTGTTGTTAATGGAATTGTTAATTTTGTGGAAAATATGTTTCAACTTGTTTTGTTTGTATGGTGTTCATAAATGATTCATAGCATTTTTTAACTTTTCGAATTCTTGCTATGAAGTGTTTAAATTTTTCGCAGGAGCAACTTGTGATCCCCCCAGTTTCAACTTCAACAAATTCATCCGCCAACAACATCAAGCTGGACACAAAATTATTCGAAGATGAAAGCATGGATTTCTGTTCGTCCATCGCCGACCAGACCTTCAACGAATCGTCTTCCTCATTTCTGATTGGTGGAGATGTCAGCCAATCGGGATCTGGTGATCTCAACCCTGCCACTGCTGGTGGAGCCAGTAAGAAGAAGAAGAAAGTTGTGAGTTGTTGTCTGGCTCTCCATGCTGGGGTGTTGTTTGTGCTTTTGTGTTGATGTTGTTGTTGATGTGGTCACATACTGTCTTTGACCATCGTACAGTTTGTTGCGCCATCTTGCTGTCGTGTTGCTTGCATGGTATTGATTGGGCTTTTGATGATGGCAGTGAAAACGCTGACAGTGGTTAGTTATTGACTGGTGAAATATAAACATACGACAACAGCGCACGACGAAGGTCCGCAACATAACTGGCTACATCGTGTACGCTGGCGAGTGCAGGAAGGACATTCAGGCAGAGTTCCCTGATTTCAACTTTGGAGACATCAGCAGAGCTGTCGGGAACAGAGTTAGTGCAATTTGCAGTTTGTTAAATTTTCAAAATAGGGATGTGTTGAGCTCTGCAAATGATAATTATTTTTGGTTTAGCAGTGTTAAATTAATATTTAGCCGTTGTTTTTGTGCTGCGGTCCTTTGTTGATGTTGGTTCTCTTAATTGAGCGGCAAACGCATATGGCCTGGTCGAAATGTTTAATGAAATTTTATTAGCTTCTTGGGCATGGTGTGGTGTTGTGCCTGCCATCCAAAGTGTATGCCGGTCATGTAGTTAGTGAGGCTGTTGAGGTTGTTGTTGTTGTTGTTGTGCAAAATGTTTCAAATCATTTTGTTGACGCCAACAGTGGAAGTCGCTGCCGAAGGATCAGAAGGAGAAATATGAGGAGAAGGCGCGTCTGCTGGCCTCCGATGCCAGCCTGAAGATCGGCGACTACAGTATCAACTCCGTCGTGCCGTCGCCTGGTGCAGAGTCCAGGAGCATGTCACCCAACTCTTCCATCCTACCTACCGTCACCAACAGCAGTAACAATATGAACGGAGGTCGATCTACTTTCTTTCTAACAAAATCTTTTTTAACTTTTTTAATTCATCTTGTTTGTGTTATGATTAAAAATATGGACTCTAATGATGAAAAATTCAATGCATTTGATAATAAATTTGCTGCAACTGTTCAGGTCGGATGGGACAAGTAGCTCAAAATCTCACTGAGCAGACCAGCCAACCGCTTGTTACCCAGTTCAACCACCAGCAAAGTATGTTCTTTCTCATTTCTCGTTCCATGCACTATTTTATAATCTAACAATTATCTTAAAATGATTTTTTTTGATTATTTACTGATCGTGTTTTATTTTTTCCCATTAACTAATTGCATGTTGTCAACGTCGTCTTCATCGTTATCAACCGTATCAATCGAACGTCACCACTCCCACCTTATTTAAATCATGTTGTTATTTCCACCATCTCTATCATCACCTCTGACCTCCACCTTACGGGATCATCATCTTCAGGTGGGCGACCTCTTTTTGTCTCCCTGCCCCCTCAACCTCAACGAGTCATACATTCAGAGGCTTACCTCAGGTTTCTACATTTGTTCACCCGTCGTTGTTTGCTTGTTGCGCTTGATTTAATGTAATGTTGTGTGAATAAGAATTGTGGCCTGGTGTTAACATTGTTGAACTTTGAATGTTGCCCATATTGTGAGATGTTGTTGTGGGTATTGTTGCAGTGTTGACTGAATGTTGCTTTTAAAAGGTTCGGTTTTTTTTGCACTTCTCGGCATAACTTTACAAATTTGTGGTTTGATTGTCATCTGTCAACACATATATATCCATGATAAGAATTCGTACAATTTTGACACCAACACCAAAACTCATCTCAACAGATACATCAGAGGGATGACTCAAAACAGCAGATTCATTGGAGACTGCAACAAAACTCTCAACGCAACCAAACCGGAAGCCTCTGCCCTAGAAACAACGAAACTTCCATCTCATTGGTTGGCTCAGGGTCCTGGTCATCATGGTGATGTTGTCAGTGCTCTGTGGGCTATGAGGGATCATATGCTGAAGGATGCATTCAATATCTCGAAAGTTCTTACTTAAAATACCGATATCTTTTACTGTCACAAATTGGAATAGTGATAATATTCATTGTTAATTTTTCGTCATACTAACAATTTATTATTAAATCGTTATTGTTATCAGTTTCTTGTGGTCATTTCATTATCATATTAACGATGTTATATCATTTTATTTTTAGATTTACATATTTACACTTTCACGGACATTATCGTTTGTTTTATCGTCTCATGAAAATTAAATTATTTAATTTGTTTTACGTTTAGTTCGTTTCACAACAGCTTTTTATGGTTTCAGTTGCAATGCAGTGACTTGTTGAACGAAATTTATTTTCTGTTAAATTCGTTGAGTTGTTTGGAAAAAAACACCTTCGCATTGTGAACCGTTTTTAACTTATAAAAATATTTCAAAATCTACAACTTTTTGAATGGTTCCAAAAAAATCCTGTCACCTTTAAATAAAGTACAAGCAAAAGTATGGTCTGCATTTGCTTTTTCTGGCCCTTTTCTCTTGAACTCTACCTCCTTCTCTGACTACTTCTCCGTCACTTACCAAGTTGAGTGCGGATCTTAAGACTCACCATTTGTTTGCAAAATTCATTGACAAACGCTGTTGAACATCGCGGAAATAGCGCTTTATAAACTAATTGATTGATTGTTTGAAATACAAAAATCACAAAAATAATAATCCTTCCATACCAAAGAACCATTAAACGAATGGCAAATAACACAGAATCTACCTGTTAAAGGTAGGCCAGTTGATTAATAATAATATACGATGCGCATCGTGTTGTAAA